TTTTTTAAAAATTTTATTATTTGTGTGTGTGCGTGTACCGTCAAATCAGATCTGACTGGTACAGGAGGAGATTGTCCCTCCTTCCTCGGCAGAGCATCTGGTGGATTCGAACCGTGCGCCTCTGGGATTGTACTGCAGCTTCTTGTCACTAGGCCACCAGAGCTCCCCAAGAAGTTATTTTTTATACCTTCTACAATAAAGCTCCTGTTAAGAATTATTTTATTCAACATTTTCAGTAATTTTCTTTTTTGAAATTTAAATTTGTTTAAATAAGCAATACACTCATAACCATGTACCAGTTTTGTGTTATCCTTCCATATTATTACAAATTATTATCATTAGTAAAAGTAAAAATGTGATTAAGGCAGAAATTTTTCAGAAAAGGAAAACTCAAATATTTTCCATTAAAATGACTGACAGGAAAATGTTAAATCCACACCCTGTTAAAGGCAGGAAACTTGTAAGATTAGAAAAAATAAGCAGTCTTACTGAGGTCCAGCTGGGAGAAGGGAAAGATGATATACAATAAAGAGATGATTGGACATAATACTCAATTAACTACATTACTAAATTATAATTAGTGTTATAAAACAAATGGGAATGATTAAATAAAAAACCAGTACAATCTGTAAACTTCCACTGAAAAAGGCAAAAGAAAAACATATCTGTGGCTATATTATGTTGCTGTTAAGAGTTGATGGGTAGAAACTGATCTACAGCTGATCCTCTGGAGGATTTTCAGAGACTGTAAATCATACAAAAGGAGACTTCCCACCTCTTGGAGCAGCTGGTGGATTCAAATCTCATGTCTTTGGTTAGACAGCTGCAACTTCTTACCACTAGGCCATAAGAGCTCTCCATATGCAGCTATTACTTTCATTATTTCTGCCTTTCTTTGTAGTGAGTAGAATATATAAGACTACTCTTATCAAAAATGAATCTTCAGGTACTCTGTATGCCTCTTCTTTCTGACTGGAGCTCTAGTGGCCTAGTGGATAAGGAACAGCACTGCCAATCCAAAGGCAGATGGTTCTAATTCACCAGTTGCTCTGATGGAGAAAGATGGGCAATCTCCTTCCATACAACTGACAGCCTCTGAAAACTCACTAGACAGTTTTCCTCTTCTAATGGACTAATATCATCAATTATAAAGTGACCGAACTCAGAAATCTAGAAGTTATCTAAAACCCTAGCCTGCCTTAATCTTTGTTCTCATACCCAGTCAGTCACCATACACTATGGATGGTTTATTTTTATTTTCTTAAAACAGCTAGAATATAAGAATTGCCATAATTAAGTATATAATTCAATGGCATTAATTATACTCACAGTGTTGTACAATCTTCACTATTTTCAAGACATTCTTATTAGCTTACACAGAAACGCTTAAACTGTGGCTTTCCATTTCTAGCCTGCCCGGTAAATACTAATCTACTTTTTACCTATGCGCATTTGCCTATCTATATATATTTACTCAAAGTGTAATCATACATTACTTGTCCTTCTGTTTATAAATTATCTAGAGTATTTTACAGATCAGGCAATTTAATATCTTCATTTCAGGAATTGGGAAAATAAAGAGAACATCATGAAGAGATACATCTGTTCCAGACTTAGTTAAGAAACACACATTAAAATACAACTTAAAAAGCACTGACCTTCATATTCCTCTTCATTCTCAAGATAATCATCATCCAGCACATTTAGCAGTCTTAACACTGGAGTAGGAAGCATTACCAGATCTTCAATATGAGGGGCTATTGAAGTTCATGAAAACACAGTTAAATGTAAATCCCAATTAAAAAATGATCAACACCAGGCAGAGAAATTTAAGAATATAAACTCTGATATGGTTATTTGATCACCAAATGATCAAGAAGAAAAGAGTCATACAACTTACCAAAAGGAATGCTAAAGAATGGGCTGCACAATGCCATCTCAGCAGAAATTCTTCTGCCTGGATCATCATGAAGCATGCTAAAATAAAAAAAAAAAGATATCATTACAATTTTATAATTGCTGTAAAATCTTTTGAAAATGAAACCATTAAAGAAAAAAAAATATGTATATTCATTGTAGCACAATTCACTGAATCATATAGCTTCAAACTTCACCTAATTGCTGTGGAGTCAAAACTGACTCATAGCTGACACGCTAGTAGGTTTTCAGAGGCTGTAAATCCCATTGGAGAAGCCTGTCCACCTTTTCTCCCTCAAGGAGCAGGTGGGGGACCTGAGCTGACTGGTTTTAGGGTGTCAGGACAACTCTTAGGGAGCTCTGGTAGCCTGATTGGTGAGGAGTTGCACTGCAAATACAAAGAAAGCTGGCTCAAAACCACCAGCTGCTCCTTGGGAAAGAAGGGCAATCTCCTTCCAGGCTTTCCTCTGAAAACCCGCTGGAGGGTCAGCTATGAGTTAATTCTAACTCTACAGCAAAGAGACAGATTAGAGTTTATCTACAGAGAACAGAAATGTTATTTTTTTTCCCCTATAATTATATTTTATTAATTTTCATAAACATTTACAGAGATTTTGGGCTTCCACTCATTCATTGTTGCACTATTCTCTCTACCCTCCTCCCAGTTTGTTCTTGTCCAAATGCCACAGTGCTTGTCAAAGCCAGTTCTGATTAATCTTCTTTGTCAGTGTATCCTTTGACATTCCCTATCACTCCTCCCTGAGAGAGACTTCACCCTGAGTCATAAGGAAGAGGGGACGGCGTATTCTCTTAGCTACTTCCTGCTGAAAAGGGACGCTGTGGGTTTCAGGGTGAAGATCTTCTCTCACTACTCTAAAGGGCCCCTTTGGCAGTAGGAGACACATAGACTATTATGGAGATTGATTTTAGAATTCAGATGCACTCTTATTGATTGTGCTTGGCTGTACATTTACATATCCTTCAAGATGTATCATGGGGGTGTTGCAACCTAGAAGACACAAATTTGACTAACAAGTTATAAGTACATGAGTCCAAAAATTATGGAAAAGTAAAAGAAAAGATTCTTTCATTGTTTTACAAACCCTCCCCCAGGTCCCCTCCACCATGCAGCCCTCGCTCTAGTCTCCTGTGATGACAGAAATACCCAGTTACATCTCTCTTTTAAACGGTTCTCTCCCTCCTCTAGAGAACAGAAATGTTATTTATGAGTAAACAGCTCAATAACTCAAAATAATGTACGTCTAGGACATAGATCCTTTTCCTTAGTTATTGATATGGTTAAGTTCTAAAAATGAGGTCATTATGCAAAATCAGCATCATGAAAAAAAATGGGAGAAAGCTACATTAATCACAAAATAGAGACTGACTACATCATTACATGACTGCTAAACTCTATCATTACCTAATTGCCAAAGCTAACACATGCCCTTCGTCACCACGGCCAGCATTACTGTCACCTTGTACCTCAGTATTCACTACTGCCAAGTGTATGTCATTAATAAGCAAAGTCACTGGATTAATAGCCAGATTTTTTCACTGTTGTTTTTGTTGCTGACTGCCGTCGAGTACAATTCACAGCACCTCTGATTTTTCACTACTGTAGTGAAATGATGGATAGTAAGATAGTGAGGAGTAGGTATAATGTTATAAAGTAATTTAAATTCTTTAAATTAATAAACGCAACAGGGGAAACAATCCACATTACATAACAAAAAGCTAGACAGAGATTTAGGATAGCCCAACTGATCGAAGTGTAAAGAAAAGAAGAAGAGGAAAACAAGAAAGGAAAGAAGGGAGTAGTGGAGAATGATTTTTTAATCTCTAGAACAACTAAATAATAAAACCAAAAATGTATTGATAATACCTACAACAAAATTAAGATACAAGGGAGTTCCAATAAGCCCTAATATACAAAAGACTTCACATTAGCAGTCATCTATGCCAGACAAGGTAAAAAGAATCAACAGTTGCTCTGATGAACCAAAGGATATTCAAAGGAAATAGCCACCCAGTTTGCAAAGGCAGCTGAAACCAAGAAAGGTTATATATATTCTAACACATGTAAATGCACAGGGTACCCTGAAGAGACTGCAGCAGACTAAGCACTAGGATTTTCAAACCAAGAGGAAAGTATTGGAAGCAGGGTAAAAACTGAGCAGGATGGTGTATATAAAGACTTTTAATGCGAGGAGGTTTAGGGAAAAAGCAGGGAAGGGGTAGGGCCCGAGTTCTCAGAAACAAGCTGCTTTGTATTTTAAACATTAGATACAAAAACAGAAGTTGCAGCATAGGAAAACCAGTTCAGAAAAAAAACATTTCACATAAAAATAAGCAAGATAGGAATATACTCCAAGGAAAACAGAACTGATACATTAAGTGGAGATTTGTACACCAATGTTCCTAGCACATTATTCACAATAGCAAGAACATGGAAACAGCCTAAATGTCTACTAACAAACAACTACACGATTGAGAATGTGGTACATTCACACACTGGAATACTAGGCAGCACTCAGGAGCAATGATTTTGAAAAATACTATATAACATGAGAGAGGCTAGAGAGCATTATATACTTAGTGAGCTAACTCAGGTGCTTAAGAACAAATACTGCATATGACCATTATTGTAAAATCAGAAGGATGACCAGTAAACTGTGTATAGATATAAAAAAGAGAAGGGGAGAGGGCAGGGGGGTATATCACAGAGTTGCAGAGTTTAGTGGTGAGTGGTGGGAAGGGGAAAAAAATCCCAATGTACATGAATTGTATGCAAACCAATTAAAAATTTTTAAAAAGCAAGAATAAAATGATTATAACAAAACTTGTTGTTGTTATGTGCCATCGAGTCGTTTGCGACTCATAGCAACCCTATGCACAACAGCCCTAAACCCTGCTCTATCCTGCGCCAACCGCAATGCCTCTGACACCCCCATCCCGATT